GACTGTTTGTTTGGCTATAAAACCAGTTGCTACGGTTTAATACCAAATATCTGTGAAAAATGTTTTTAAAAGTGGGCATAAACATAGTATAAAAGTTAAAGGTTCTTGCATCCCAATAGAAAACATAGTTTTAACCATAAGTTTGCTTTAGGCCCTTATTCTAACCTAATAATTGTATGTGGACCTCCCCTTGACTCATTTTTGGTAGATATATATGAAGTTAACTGGAAAAGAAAGTAAAAGCTGAAATATAATTATTTCAACTCTATTTGTTTTTTACATTTTTGATGTATTTTACATTCATAGAGTATTGTTTTTTTTTAATCTTCTTTAGGCAAAGAAATAAACCACACAAGAAATCGGTATGCAAACATTACATTTGCTTTCTTTATCTTGTAGGATATTTAACTGAACTTGACTTTATTCAGTATATCACAATATCACTACAAAAACAGCAAATATAGCAATGACTTAAAAGTTAAAATATAACTTAAAATATTGAAAAAGATTAAAAGTAAACGCGACGTTGAAAACCATAAGTGGTATACTAGGATAGCCCATGAATTTTGTATTAAAACTTATTTCTAATGGGCGTCCTTGAGAAACAACCAAATGAAATAAATTTAAAAGACCACATTGCATAAAATAGTTAAAAATGCATCTTTGGGGTATTATTTCAATTAATAAATCAGCTAAGATGGTATTGATCTTGATGATATTCTTAAAATGATACAGCAGATGCTTCAGCTAACCAACAACTGCATTATTGAATGGATGCTTCAGATAACGAACAACTGCTTCAGATAAACAACAATTACTGCATTATTCAATGGATACTTCAGATAAATAACAACTGCATTATTCAATGGATACTTCAGATAACCAACAACTGCATTATTCAATGGATGCCGCAGATAACCAACCACAGCATTATTTAATGGATGCTTCTGCTAACCAACAAATGTATTATTCAATGGATGCTCTAGATACCCAAAAATTGCATTATTCAAGGGATACTTCACATAACCAATAACTGTATTATTTAAATAATAATTGATCAGTTAATACATCAACAGAATACTGCAACAATCATATATTTATTATTCATATCTTATTATCTACATAATAACACATTATTTATAATCAGTTTCCATACAGGTTTCAGTTCATCACCATGTCTAAATTATGTATGCATAAACTGCAAGTGATTGTCCAACAGACCAGTGACACAAGGTAAGTACTAACCCACCTTGCAGCACATGCAACATCAAACAGGTTGTGTACTAACCATCAACTGTTTTATTCATTGGGTGTTTCAACGAAAAAAATATATTATTTAATGGGTACATAATCAACCAACCAACCAACCAACTACATACTTTTCAATTAATGTTAGAACTAACCAAGAACTTCATAATTGAATGGAAGTTTTAGCTAAACATCAAATGCATTATTTAATGAAAACTTCAGCCAACCAACAAACCAACAACTGGATTATTCACTCTATATTTTTAGCTAATAATTCAGAAACTGAATTTAACAGTTAATCTATTAACTACTGAACTTCTGAATTAATTTACTGCATTCATCAAATAATAAATTGAGCAGTTAATACTTCAACAGAATACAGTAACAATTATATATTTTCTAAACAATAATGACACATTATTTATATTCAGTTTCTATACAGGTTGCAGTTCATCACCATGCCTAAATTGTGTACTATACATGAACTACAAGTGATTGTCCAAACAAACCAGTGACACACTAGGTAAGTATACTGCTTTACTACCGTCACCTTCACTTGGTAACATCAAAACCACCCACATGATACATTAAACAAGTACTGTACTAACCATCAAATACATTATGCAATAGATACTTCAGATAGCTAACAACTACATTATTCAGCGGATACTTCAGGTAACCAACAACTGCATTATATAATGGATGTATCAGCTAAGTGCATTAATCAACAGTTGCATTAATTAATGATTGAATAAAACTGCATACTGATAGTATCAAAAACAGCCTAAACCAACAATTACATTAGTTGAAGATTTTCATAAAATTGCTTACTGAATTCTTTAAAAAAAACAGCCTAAACCAACGATTACATTCTTTAATGACTGCCTAAAAAAATATTGCATTAAATCATGCAAAAACTACATAATGTATTAATCAAAAACAGGCTAAACCAAAAACTACATTAACTAATGATTGCATAAAAGTCCTTCCTTTTATTCAACAAAAATATCCAATACCAACAATTATATTAACTAATGATTACGGATCGCCGAAACCATTTTTCTTGCCTACAGTACAGAATACTAATTATCGTTTTCTGTTGATGTCTACGCTAAATTCAATGTACTTTAAATGTAAGAAATTAATGTATGCTGGCTTCATAAAAATAAAATGATTTATTTACGGGTTTTAGTGATGAAATATTGAACGAGAATTTACCCAACTAACCCGTAAATTAACCCTAACGTTCCCTAGCTTTTCCGCGAATTTAATTTAAAAAAAATATTACCAGAAACATGCTAATTTTCACTTTCTGCTGATGTCTAAACTAACACAAATTTACTTTTTTATGTCCATAAATGAATAGAGTTTCGCATCTTTAAAAGTAAAAAGTATATTTTGATGTAATTGGTTGAAATTTTGTGATTAAAAATTTCATTTTAGGTGTAATCAATTACAACAGTCCCTTAAGGGACACTCCCCTAGCCCTCTGCTGCTCCATCCACGTGTACATGGTCGCGTCTACTTCATCGAAGATTGGTGTTTTCACATACGAAGATTTTCTTGCTTTAGCAGGGTTTTCGTTTGTTGAAGTGTGTCTTTGTATTTTCTCTCTGTTTTTCCATATGGTCGCTACCGTAGACTTCGAAAGTCCAAAACGTTTTCCAATCGCTGAATTGGACTCGTGGTTCTCATAGGCTTTTATTACGCTCAGTTTCGCCTCAATGGAAATACACTGTCTTGGTCTTTTCGAGGCAGAAGCCATTGTTGAAATGTACATTACATTTAATTTAATTATGTTTCAATCAATTAATTAAACAATCAGGTCTATGCTCCTCCCATGCTCCCTACCTACCAATGAAAAGGTGTCATTTAAAATAATACGTACAAATGATTCATTTAAATTGCATATATTTCTGTCATTTGTTATCTAAACCCTATTCATTGTTTACAAAGGTCACAATCAGGTCTATGCTCCTCCCATGCTCCCTACCTACCAATGAAAAGGTGTCATTTAAAATAATACGTACAAATGATTCATTTAAATTGCATATATTTCTGTCATTTCTTATCTAAACCCTATTCATTGTTTACAAAGGTCATAAGCGTAAACCAATTCATTCCCAGACGCGTGTCCTGTAAAGTTTGTCAACCACAGCTATGCGCTCCTTTGATGTTAACGACTGTTGCTATTAACGATGACAGCGGTCTAATGTCGTCTCTGTAAGACGGTCTAAATTTCGTCGCTGGAAAGAGACCAGTGACTGGTGCTCCTTATATAGTTTATCTTATTGGAAATGACTTTACCACGTCTTATTATCGCCGTTAGTGTTTTTATAAACGATGCTTTAATTAATAAAATAAAGACTCGTAAAACACAATTGATGTTCAATTGCTTTAATACAATTAAAGTTTCTTGTTTATAGAATAAATGAACAAAAGCACTCAAAATTCACATGGATAATAGCTTTAAAAAGTTATCTAAAATTCATCGGCCAAACACCGTTCGTAAAATAGAAGGTTCGTAATTGAGAAGTTCGTAATTGGGAAGGTCGACTGCAGTCGACCTTCTCAATTACGTACCCTTTGGTCTAAAAGGCGTTCGTAATTGAGAAAATTCGTAATGAGAAAATTCGTAATTGAGAAGTATGAAAAAATAGCGCCTTCTAGATAAATTTTTTAACCATATGTGTGCGCTTAACGATCGTCACGGCCTATTGGTATGGTCTATGACTGGTCTAAGTTTACACAGAATATTTAAATTTGCAGGACTAAACTATTATATATTATTACTGTATAGACGAACCTCTCTCCATTGTGCTATTATTTACCCATAGCCTCCGTGCCCACAGCCGATGCAAAATCAAGAAGTACTCCGCATGGGCGACGATCATTCGTTTAACCATGTGCTTGTTTCGCAGATGGATTTATGTTTTGCGCTGATTGGCTATGCACGCTCCAGGGTTTTAGCATTGTAAACCAGCCGCCGGACTGCTGCCAGCCTTTGATCGCGAGTCCGCAATACACGAACGAACGTATAAGACGTGATTCAAACAGATAAATTACAAACGCATAAGATGGGTATGATTTAAAAAAATAAAACAACAAACACATTAGACGGACAACGAACTTATGAACGATATGACGGACAAGATTTAAAAAATTAAATAATGAAAACATAAGTCAGACATGAAAAAATTCATATAAGGTACGAACGTATAAGAAGGACATGATTCAAACAATAAAACAAAGCCAACATAAGACTGAAATTTCTCAAACAAATAACAAACGTATCGGACGGACATAGACAAATGATACTGTGTGGACGAATGAATAATTTTGTAATGAACAAAATATTTATGAACAAAAACAAACAAATATGAAGCCAATGGACGGTTTTACAAATGAACATGTACCGGTACGCATGTAAACTGTGCAAGTTGTGATGATATATCGCTTCTGACTTTATTCATAAATGAGGGATACTAATTGAAAGTATATCTTCTTATTTTTTCCCCTTTTTTAGGGGGGGGGAGGGGTGGCGTTTTTTTTTTTAACACCATCTTCAGTACAATACTGTACAGTACACATTATACGGGAAAAATATGTCATCGACTTCTATCTTAATTTGTTGAATCTCTGTTTGGCAGCTTCATCTCGCCATTTCCTCACTTGCATTAGGTCAATATAATCCACATCCCCTTATCTTACAGCCACATCAGCAGGTTGTCAGCAGCGTTAAAAGCTGTTGATGCGTTGACTCTTGGGAGGTGACTAACTTTTTGTTCATCATCAGATGAATTGTGCTCCTGCGATGTTTCCACACCACTGATGATTTGATCATCCGTTAGCCACTGATACCCTGGATCGTCTGCGCCTTCAGTCAGCCATTGAACGGGTCCCATCTACTCGCTATCATCGGCTTGGTATCCGAGTTCTTCAAACATTACATCGAATTCAGCCGAGTCACCGTCATCATGATGGTTTCTTTGTGATGAGAATCGGAGTCGTTGTTCGGCTCTTCTCCCAGAAGTTGTCGCCAGCTACGACTTAGGTTTTCTTTTTTTTAAACATGAGAACAATAACACGTTTTAAGTCAAAAGTGTGATTGTGTTATTCATTCAGATGTGATCTTTTCTAACATATTAATTAGCATCTTAAATTCCTGTTCAATTTTTAATTTCCATTTTACTTATAAATTCCAATCCAATAACAATGATCTATAACCAATGTATAATCAATGTTCATTAAATTTTCAGCAATCCAATCAATGTTCAATCAATGTTCAATAATCAATGTATAATCAATGTTCATTCAATGTTCAATAATCGACTTTCAGCAATCAAATCAATGTTCAATTGTGATGGTCATAAGACTGTCATAAGAAGAGAAGTTGATGAGTAATAATTATAGAAGCATACATGATAAAACTGGTTATAACCATGTTGAAAAGTTTTTGGAGACTTTAGGTCATTGGACATCAGAAATTAGTAAAATATAGTGAGGGCAAATTCAATTCATTATATATTTATTGAAAATATAATTAAATTTTTTAAAAGTACAAAATGGAAACCAACACACATAAAAAACATCAAATGATTAAAAATACACATACATCATCATTAAGATAAATTATAAATTTTACAATTACAATATTAAACAAAAAACCCTCCATTATTAAATATATCATGATACCAATTATAAAGGTTTAAAATTATAGATATTGCTGTAATTACCTAAATTAATTACGTTAAAAACCATAAGAAGCCTTCTTTATGGGTCCGGTCAAGGATCTATTCGACATTTTTTAAAGTAGTTGACGTTACATTTATTGTACTCGTGCTTCAAATGATCTGACATTCATGTTCGTTCGTCTTGGTGATAAAATAACTCGATTCCATTTAACTATAAGAATGGAATTATATTTTGACTTTTACAGAGGCATCAAATAAATTCACAAATAGACTGAAATTAAGGTTCTGGTGAT